ACACACCAGGCTATATGACCTTTGGCTTGATCCACATACCCAGGCTTATCTCATGCTCACAACTAACTTTATCAGACTTACAGTGGGGAATAAGGAGGCACAGGAAGGTGGTTATTGTCAGGTTTGGTGGTCATTAAATAAGTTCTAACCCCTGATGATCCCATGTGTGGCACAATACAATGTTGCCTGGTCTTGTGCCATCTTCAGGATCATAGGCATATATTTGAGTCCACTGTTAAGGCTAGCATCAAGAAAACAAAGATTCTCACCACTGGGCCAATTGGCAGCACGATGATAGATGGAGAAGAGATTGAGATTGTTAACAATTTCTGCTTGCTTGGTTCAACAATCAATACTCTTGGCTCTAACAGTCAGGAAATCAAGAGGTGAATTGTATTAGGAAAATCTGCTGTCAAGGACCTCTCTAGAGTGCTAGAGAGCAATGATGACAGTTTAGAGACTAAGGTGCGCCTGATCCAGGCCATGATCATCGCAATTACTTGCTGTGAATCAGAGAGCTGAACAACGAATGACTACGGATGATAGAAGAAGAACCAATGTCTTTGAGTTGTGGTGCTGGAGAAGAGTACCATGGACTGCCAAGAGAACAAACAGGTCTTTCCTAGAGAAGGTGAAACCAAACTACTCTTTGGAGGCCAGGATTTTGAAGTTCCAGCTCATATAATTTGGGAACGTAGCAAGGAGGGAACAACCCTTGGAGAAGGACATCATGCTTGGAAGAGTAGAGGGACAGCAAAGGAGAGGAAGACTCTGGATAAGAAGGATTGACACAGTAACTGGGGTAATGGAGGCAAGTGTGTCAGACACAGTGAGATTGACTCAGGATAGCACAGGGTTCAGAACTATGGTGCCTAGGGTCGCTATGAGTCACAGGCAACTCGACGGCACATAACAACACCAACCAACCATCTTAGGTGGCTCATTTTCCTGGAAAATACCCCTTTATAATATAGTATAGTTTGATTGGCTAGTTTATAGGAGATTGCCAGATCTACTTTGCCAAGTCTATCAGAAGATCCGTGAAAACTAGTGGCCCTGCTGGTATTTGAAACATCAGAGGCATGTTGTTGTTGTTGTTGTTGTCAGGTGCAACTGAGCTGACTATGACCCACAGCAACTCTATTAGTAACAGATCAAAACCTTGCCTTACACTGTGCCACCCTCATGACCTCTCCACACGCTCAAGCCAATTCTTACAGTCACTGTGTCAATCCATGTCGTTGGAAGTCTTCCTCTCTTTCACTGACTCTACTTTTTTTTGCAAACATGATGTCTTTTCTCCCCAAGCACTGGTCCCTCCTGACAACATGACCAAAGTATGTGAGATGAAGGTTCCAGCTCACAGCGGCACGCAAGCTGCCAGAGTGGACGCGCTGACAGCACCACAGATGGGCGTGGGCGCTGAGGTTACATGACTTCACAAACAGCACAAAGCTGACAGGTGGCCGAGAAAGCACGAGCTGGACTCTGCTAACTCTGCATGCAGCGCTTTGCTGGTGACTTCTCAAATGCTATGCTTTCTAGGTGGGGTTCTCCCAGGAGTAGACCGTGAACCAAGGGTTTAGATGAACACAATTTCTCAAGGAAAGATACTGAGGAAGGTAATGGGAGGGGCGGGGGGAGGCAGGATAGAGCAGAGATGAAGTCAATCAAGAGTACAATTTAGGACTGAGTCCCGGTCTCAGTGTGATCCCCACAGGAGCTCTGGAGTATAAATGCAGCTTAGCGTTTACTTCACTCGGAAGCAAGGGTGGTTATTGTTTTTGTGTACTGTTGAGTTAGAACTGACTCATAGCTGACCCTCTGGTGGGTTTTCTAAGACAGTAAATCCCAGGGGAGAAGATTGTCCAGGCTTCTCCTGCACAGCAGCTGGGGGACTTGAACTGCCTGCCTTTGGAACTGCAGTTCAGTTTCTTACCACTACGCCACCTGGAAGGAAGGGGACAGGTGGGTTTTATATTTACACTTTAGTTGGTTATTTGTTATAGAGCTGTAAGGACTATTGTTGGGTGCTGTCAAGCCAATTTTGACCCCAAGGGCCTTAAATGAGAGTTCTGGTGGTTTACTCCAGAGGGGGTCCTGCTGTTAACTCAGGGGTCGTGCCTCTCTGGTGGTTCAAATCCACCAGAAGGTCCAAGAGGACATGAGAACCAGTATCATCCTGCATGATTTACAGGTCCATCAACCCAGCAGAGGGTCAGCAATGACTTGATTCTGACTCAATGGCAATGACAGAAAAAAAATAGGGAGAGAGAAGGAAACGGAGAGTCAGAGAGAAAGGACTGGGCACTAAAGGACAGAGTAGAACTGCTCCCCGGGATTTCCAAACCTTTATGGTGGCCAAGAGGTAAGAAGCTGAACTGCAATCAAAGCGGCCTCTGTACACTGCATTGAAACAGATGAGGGAGAGAACTGCTTAAAAGGGATATATGATTGGATATTATTGACATAACAGGAGTCAAGAATGAAGGCTGCATAGTGGAGTGGACTTGGGGGAAGGGATTGCCTAACAATGAAAGAGTTTTTCTTTTCAAGGAGAAGAGTGAATGGGGGGGAAGAGGGTGGGCAGGGAGAAAAGTGCATCAATGAATGACTAGAAACCCTAAGCCTCTTTAAACTTCCACTAAAATTAATTTAAAAAAAGAAAACTCACAAAAAAAGGGCCTCTGGCTCAAATCTACCAACTGCTCTGCAGTAGTATCTGTTATTGTTGTTGTTGATTGCCTTCAAGTTGAGCACGACTCTTAGCGACCCTATGAATGAAAGGCCTTGAAGCCCCTCTACAACTATCAACATTTATCAAAGTTCATAGAGTTTCTGGAAGCATGTTATTCAGTAAGCAGATGCCACTCTTGCTCTGCGGGAGAAAGACAGGTGATCTTTTCTGTGTGATTTACTGTCTATTGAAAACCTGCTGGAAGGTCAGCAACGGGCTGGTTCTGACTTGACGGCACACAACAACAACAAAAACAACAGGGGAGCACTCTGCCATTTCTCTTCTCCCACCAAGTGGCTGGTGAGTTCCAACCAGACTTCTCAGCGCGCATCCAAATGCTTAAGCACTGCACCACTGGAGCTCCTTCGCCCGGCCAGCCCTTACAGGGGAAGGCGGCCGAGTGAGCCAGCCGCCTTGGCTGACCTCTGTGGAGGTGACTTGAGCCTCTTCCCTCGCCCCACAACCCAGCCCCTCATGCTGGCTTTGATGCCAGGCTCCTGGGCCTCTTTTCAACCCCAGCTGATGTCAAGGCTGTGCTGAAAAGGCTTTTCACGGACTGATTTTCTATTCAGCAGTTTGTTGAGGAATGCGCAGAGGATATATCTAGACTTATGTCAACAAGATAGGAGAGCGAGGTTTCATAAAGAGAGACAAATTATCCTCACACGCGAGACAGAAAATCTTTGCTGCGCTGCAATCCCCACACTGCTGAGGTCTGCACTGCGGGCTCTTCCTCCTGCACCTCGCATTTCCCAGGGAGGCTGCACCCACTTCACCTCCTTTCTTCCTCAGGCGCGGCTGTCTGAATAGCCACTCAAGCCCTGAAGCTCGGGTTCAGTGGGAAATGGGGAAAGCGGGTGCTGTCAATTCCATTTCAATATCACCCCAGCCATGGGTGGTGTGTCTGTGAAAGGAACTCAAACAGCCCAAACCCAATGCCATAGAGTTGATTCTGACTCAGAGCGACCTGCAGGGCAGAGCGGCCCTGTCTCACGGGGTTTCCGAGGCGCAGCAGCCTGCTACCTCTTTCTCCCTCAGAGCAGCTTGTAGGTTTGAACCAGAGACTTTTGGGGTAGAAGCTGAATGCCTTAACCATGGCACCAACAGAGCACTTCATAAAATGAACCAGTGAGGGAGTGTGTTCCTAGGGAAAACAAACAAACAAACAAACACAACACAACACAACAAAACAAAAACCTACACCAAGCTCAAATGAGTCATAAAAGATGATGAGGGGACAATCTGGTGACACCCTGACTGGAGGCTTCTCAGGAGAAGGATGGAAGTCTCCTCCGTTGACTTGAAGGGAGTAAGTGAATGAGATGAATCAGCAAGAACGGGTAAGCCCATGCTCACTGTCTTATTAGATAACCTGACACTGGGTCTCTGTGCAGATGGTGAGAATTGTACCAGCGAACCACCGCTGCCCTGAGTGAGGCTCCGTGATGACATTTTTCAGGTCCACGTGAAGTTCCTGAGGTGTGGAGCTCTTAAGAGATTTGTCTAAAGTCACAGGGTTTTGAAGGCGGGCAAATGCCACCTGCATCACCCTGCATTTCGTCTTGTCCTGGCTAATAGATCTTCTCACACCTCACACTCTCCTTGGGAGCGCGATGTCCAGTCTGAATGGCCATGTGGCCTTGTATTGCCAAGTCTCAGGAAGCATTAAAGAAAGATCACATGGACATGAAAAGTGACCAAGTGGGAAGACTGTTTGCAGATGACACGCAGCATCTCCCGGGCAGAGAGGAGCTAAACTGAGGGAACTTGTCCTAAAGCTTCCCAGAAATATGACCATTTGGATTAAAAAGAGAGGGGAAATCCTATGTTATTAAGTTCTTGTGTCCAGACGGTGCTGTCACTGTCTGCTGTTGAGTTGACTCCAACTCGTGTTGACTTTATGTGCGTGGTCAACATCGCGTGCTCATCGCTGATGAGGCCGTTGTGTCAATCCAGCTCACTGAGGGTCTTCCTCCACTTCTGCTGACCCTTTGCTGGTAGTGCAGAGGGTCAGCAAAGATGGAAGAGGACCCGCAGTGAGATGGACTGACGTAATGACCTCAACAGTGGTCTCGAACATGGTGGAGACGGTGAAGATGGAATAGGCCAAGATTTCAATCTACTGTTCATAGGTTTGCTAGGAATCATAATCAAATCAGTGGCGCCTCAAAGCCACAACAGTATCAAACAGTCTTGGTGTTTTTGCTGAGGGGAGACCGGCTGAGACCAGCCCGGAGACAACAGGAGAGCAAGGACAGCTTACCTTTTTGTCGCTGAGGCCAGTCACTTGGTCCACAAACTCTTCCTGGATCATGAAAGCGGCCAGGTTGGCCGTGTAGCTGGCCAGGAAGATGACGGCGAAGAAGGCCCAGACCGACACCATGATTTTGCTGGTGGTCCCTTTCGGATTCTGGACAGGCACGGAGTTATTGAACACCAGGCCCCAAAGGAGCCAGATAGCTTTTCCGATTGTGAAAGAAGGCCCGTGGGGTGCTGCAAAGGACAGAGAGTGGGATCAGCACACCCTCCAAACACACACTTATGGGTGTAAAGTCTACCAGAGACGGACTGACATCGGTCATACCCCATCGCCTCCCCGGACCACAGCCTCAATAGCGTCTCTTTTCCTTTTAATATTAACATTCTTTCCACATCTCTATCTAGCTCGACGGGGTAGGGCTATCCCTGCACCTCCACCCCATATTGCTTTAAAAGAAAGAAAAGAAAACGGTTATGCAGAAGGCAGGCTTGAATGAGAAGCAGTGTTATGACCTGTTTTAAATTCAGATTTGATTTCCATTTGGGGAAACCAATCTCCTTAATAAACGTAACGGAAGCCTTATAGACAGTGTGGTGGGGGAGGGAGGGGGCACTCCTCCCTTATTCAGAGGACGTGTCAGCCTACTGGGGGGGGGGGGGGCACACAGTCCAGCAGGAGCGATGTTTGGTATTCTAGTGCAACTGTCCCTAGCAATTGCTTCTGCTCAAACTCAGCTAATGTGGGCACAAAATAGGAATTAGGCCCAACGAGAGCACCCTTTCCAAATGGAGACTTTAAGGAGTGGAATAATAGAGCTTAATTCTTCTACCGCTTCGCAGATGGGTTCAGGGTCACTGAGAAATGAAGAACGGATGCTATTATCACAGCGCTTCCTCTCCCTCGGTCTATCCTCGCCACAGCCACGTGGGCCGCTCTTAAATATTCTGCAAGGCTTCTTGCAACAGACTTAAGGAAAGAGGCAAAACAATCTGCTGAAATTTATTGGAAGGGGGACTACGGAGGCTGTAAAAGGCACACTTCACAGCTTCCAAGTCTTTGGCTGTTTTGCACAGGAAAAATAAAATGCCCTCCCTTCCTGGGAAGGGGGAATTTAAAAAAAAGAAGGGGAAAAAAAGGAGGGCCTTCTTTAACAGAAGGTTAATTTTTATGTCATTTAAGTAAATGAAGAGATGAAGGAAATGATCTACTCAGACTTCGGCTGGTGATGCAAGCCGAGTGGGCAATAAATAAAGTGACAGAAGTGGATTCAGATTGATGGAAGTTATGAGTTTCTGGGCAGGCAGCCGAGGCAAAGCAAGCTTTTTGCACAATTCAAGCCCAAATCAGGTTCCAGTAAGACGTATAACTCCATACGCAACACATTAAAGAGAGGGCAATTAATTCTATTATTCTCAATTTCAATCTTTCCTGTTTCTCCTTGTCTAGTTTTATGATATTCTGGGCTTATTCCCAAGAGGTTGGACACCCCTAGGGTGGGAGGCAGAGAAAGAAATAATTTTGTCTCAATGCAGTTAACTCTATCAACGACTCAATTTTATTAGGGAGTCACATTGATTGGTCGTGACAGCTATGGGGATTCAGAAACAGGCCATAATAAGGGATCTGTTCAAGACCTCTGGGAATGCTTGATTCATGGATGCTATTACGGGGCCATATAATTTCCCCCATAAAGTGCAGTGAGATGTAACTGAAAGCCATTTTGCATGAGGAGGTAAAGAGCTGTCATTTTCCGAGAGCTGATGTGTGCATACATGCAGAAAACACACCACCTCAGAGACAGAAGAGCTGGTGCATCTATCTGCTAGGGTCTCCTCTTAATTAGCTGCTAGGAGAACAAACAGGTTTGTCCCGAAGAGGGTGAAACTGGGCTGCTCCTTGGAGGCAAAGATTCTGAAGCTTCGTCTGACATACTTTGGACATGTTGCAAGGAGAGACCAATCCTTGGAGAGGAATGTCGTGCTTGGGAGGGTGGAAGGATAGTGCAGAGTGGTGGAAGACCCTCAATGAGATGGATTGATTCTGTGACTGGGGTAATGGGAGTAGGTGTGTCAGAGATAGTGAAGTTGGCACAGGATAGAGTAGGGTTTAGACCATTTGTACATAGGGTCCTTATGAGTCGCAAGCGACTCGATGGTACATAACAACAACAACAAAACATGTGTCAGTCAAAGGTAGCCTAATAGGCAGTCCCTGGGTCAGGCTGAAGTTCTTACTGTTTACCAGTAAGTCAGATCTGACCCATAGCTGACCCTCCAGTGGGTTTTTGGAGACAGTCAATCATAAGGGAGGAGATTGCTCATCTTTCTCTTGCAGGGCAGGTGGTGGATTTGAACCATGCGCGTTTGTGATTGGAGTTCAGCTTCTTTCCACTAGGCCACCAGAACTCCTTAACGTCAGTGCCCACATCAGGCAGAAGAGCCATTCATTCCTAACTGTGCCACTAAGAGTTTGTAGAAATCGGATCATGTGCATACGGTTCTTATTTAGACTTACTTCAGTGTAAAAATCATGTTTGACACTTCCTCAGTGATTTGAAAGCTTTATAAGTGACAAGTGAAGGCGGTTTTAATGAATTTGTTGGCAGTGAAGACTGGTTTGATATTTTCAAAGTGAGGGCAAATGTATATAAGAATAAAGGGCAAATAAGAGTTATTTGTAAATCAGACATTTGAAACTCAGTGATTGCCTGAGTAGCATATGATGGCTTGTGGTTCAAGTTTGTTCTTCAGTATATATCTCGTATCTAACCAATGGGCTCAAATGGAGTATGTGTTCAATCATTTCCATGAACAACTGCTTCCTTTGCTATGGCACAAGATGAACTGGATAGGGCCCAGATGCCCAGATTGAAGGCCCAGATCAAGGTTTCTAAAAGAATGCTAATCAAAAGGGTGAAGATGCAAAACAGAACTGCAAATTCTTATGGAATCCAGACATTCTGGAGTCACTGACGCTGGATGGCCCCACTAAACTAAGAAAATCCCTAGACTTTAAAGCAAAACTATTGCCTGATGCTCAGAAAAATAATAATTTATATCTATTTGAAAATAATATTTTCATTAAGCAACACATAGGGAGGTCTGGTGGCCTAGTGGTAAGAAGCTGTGCTGAAATCCTGAAGGCAAGTGGTTTGCATCCACCAGCTGCTCCATGGGAGAAGGATGGACAATCTCCTCCCGTGTGATTATCTGCCTCTGAAAACCTGCTGGAGGGTCAGCTCTGGGTCGGTTCTGACCGGACAGCACACACCACCACCACCAACAAGCAACACAGGGGTTTATTTTTACTCATATGTGACCAATCTGAGGGCAGCAGCATGAAAGGAGAGAGAAGCAGCTTAGGAGAGCAGTAAATTTGTGCTAGTAAATCTCAAAAAACTTTCAGGAAATGTGGCACAGTTTGAAGACTGTAACCACTGTCACCGATTTTACAAGTAGAAACTGTTGGAATGGTTTATGTTTTGTTTTATATCATTTTTCCTAAAGGAAGAAAAGGATAGGGCCATTTGTCCATCCCTCTGTCCATTTCCACTTCCATTCCATTGGTAACCCTTTCTCCTTGCTCCCACTGTCAATCAACTCACGTTTTCATCATAAAGTAGCCCAGTGAGCTTTCTACATTTTGCATGTCTCATAGCCTCTCTTCCTTCTATTCTTTTTTCCTTTAGTTAATGTGGCAAATATAACAGGTAACAAAACATCTGTCATTTCAGCATTCCTCACCTGGGCAGTTCAACAGCATTAATTTTGTTCATCTTGTTAATCAACCATCACCTATTATTTTTCCATCACTCTTAACAGAAGCTCAATGTGCCCTAAGTTTTTCCCTTTCTCCTTCTCTACAATCCAGTAACCACCATAAATTTTGGTCTCTATGCATTTGCTGTCTGGATATGTCATATAAGTAGACAGGTGTAGCTACATTGTTGGTATGATGATTGCCATACAACAAAAATGTGGAAGAAAGGTTGAATGAAAACCCTAATTGCTTTGTAAACTTTCACCCAAATCACAGTAATCATTCCTTTTTTAAAGCTGTCCTCTTATGTTGTTGGGTATTATCAAGTCAAAACCAACTCATAGTTGACCCCCCAGCTGGTTTTCAGAGAGAGTAAATTCCATGGGAGGAGATTGCCCATCTTTCTCCCACAGAAAAGCTGGTGGATTTGAACCACGAACCTTTGGTAGTGCAACTTCTTACCCCTAATCCACCAGAGATCCTTGTCCTCTCATAGACTGACCTATTCCACACAGCACATTCTCAAGGTCTATTCATATTGTAGCATGCAGAAGGATTTTGTGGGTTTTTTTAATGGCTAAGTAATGGTTCACTGGATGGAGAAATTACATTTTGTTTATCTCTTCGTATGATGGTGAAGAGTTGGCATTTTGAAGAAAATCTGAAATGTTTATCATGATTTACTGCCTACTCTGCCCTTCTGACTCTATCTTGTTTGACTGTCTACTCCCCTCCACGAACAACCACCTTTTGTTTCTAGAACATACCAAAGCTGGATTCCATCTCCGTGTTTTCATCTTTACTGTCTCTCTGTATGGAATGCTTTTCTCTCAGTTGTTCATGTGACTGAATCCTTCAGGCTTCAACTTCTGTGTCATTTCTTCTGAAAATCCTTCCTCATTTGACCATCTATTTAAAACAGTGTCTCCACCAGGCCATCATATCTTTACCCTGACTTTTCCTACTTCTTGGAATTTATTACACTCACATCAGTAATCTCTGATTATTAACTTACATTCTTAATGTCAGTTTTTCTCCACAAGATATAAGTTCTCTGAGGGTCAGGAATCTCTAGCCAGTTCACTGCACTATTTCATGAATAGGACAGAATCTGGCACACAGAAATCGTTCTATAGAAGTTCATTCAGTCGATGAGTGGATTCACAAATAGCACAAACTTGGATTCTGACAATGGGCTTTTCTGCTCTACTGTAATGCAATACTCATCAAGCATTGCCTCTGATTCCACTCTGACAGCAAGTACCCGACTGGTTAGTTGCACTGCCCTTTCAGTGAAGGCTGATAGTCTCGCCTTTCAACACAACACACTTATTTATGGCTGCATCTGGTTCGTTGGAGATGGTTTATATAGCAATCATCATTCTTCAATGGTTAGGAAGAAGGAGTATATCAAGAAAATCAACTTCCTAATAGTTTCCCAAGATCTGTTGGCTGTTTCCAACAGTGAATCTTTCAAGCAAGGAGAGTAAGTGGCAAACTAAAGTGCTCTATTGTTGAATAATTCTGAGTCCCTGGAAGATCTCTCATTTTGCACCATATCAAGTAATGTTTTAGGAATGAGACCAGGTTCTGGCACCCTTCTGCTGAATCCATCCACTTAGAATGCATGGATTGAGCAAAGTCTGCTCAAATGATGCCAAATGTTTATGTACATGACATGCATATGACCTTGTGGGGGAATATCTTAACAAGTTACAGCCAAGGAATGCCTCCCTGACCAATATTCTCTCTGCTGATGGCCACTTTATCAAGCGGGAGCACTAGGGTCAGGCACTGTCAAGAAGAAAAAAGAAACTCTTTGGGGGGGAAATACTGTTTTAGAATTCTACAGATTGCTACATGAAAGCAAATGTGATGGCCACAGCCTGAAGAACGCTCTTCAGTCGGGATCTAGACATTTGTTTTCTTTGATGGGACTCGTTACAATTTTCCCATTTTCTTTGGCATGTACTTTTTTAAAATGAATTGCCCTCATCCAATCTGATTTCCAGCAAATGAAACACCAGTGGGCTTTATACTACAAAAATATCAGACTGCGGCATTTTGTTTATCCTTTGTTCAGCTGATGTAGATAACCCACAGTTGTTGGGCGTTATGTGGAGCATCGGTGGTCCGATGTTGCTCATACAATGATATACAGGGAGGTGAGAGGGCATCATGCATTCTATAGGTGAAATCTTCACTGAAGGTAATGAACCAGTTTCATCATGAACCATGCTCAGGAAGGCATCCTCACCTTTCCCTTTGGCTAAGTTTCTGTTGTATCCAACAGGACTGAAGTATTCGAAGACAAAAACAGCAATGGCGGAGACAATGAGCAGCATTACAAACATCATCACCCAAACGGAGGCGCTGAAGGGCTCTGTGGGAAAAGAAACATGGTCAGTCCCCTCCTCAGCATCTCAGGGCCCCCTGGAGGCTCAGATGCCCACTGGCCGACTCAATGAGAAGCTTCTGCTAATGCAAATCAGAGCACCTAACACCATCGTACAGTCAGTCACCTTATAAGACTGTAGACAAAGACAGAACAGTACAGAAAGTGTGACAGAGCAAGTCAGGGATCCTCAATACAAATGCAAAGATAAGACTGAGGGAGGAAGTGGGGACACAGGTAAAGAAGTCACGGGGTCCTATATAATAATAGATGCACCCAGGAGTCAAAGCTAGAGAGGGGTAAGATTAGACGCAAATTGGTAGTCATAAAAAAAACTCAACTCATTGCTGGTGAGTCAGAACTAACTCAAAGCTGACCCTCCAGTGGATTTTCAGAGGTTGTAAATGATGTAAAGACACAGCCCGTCTTTCTCCTTCAGAGCAGCTGGTGGATTTGAACCATCACAGAGAGCCACCTTAAGGTAACTCTCATGATCTATGCGAGTTCCCTTGGGCAGCTGTGTTGTTGTTATGTGTCATCAAGTTGGAACTGATGCAGAGCAGGGTCTTGAGCAGATTTTTAGAGGCTGTAAATCTCACAGAAGGAGATTACTCATTTTTTTCTCATGGAGCAGCTGGTGGATTTGAACTACCTGCCTCTACCTCTAAGCCACCAGACAGTTATTCATGTTGTGTGCCATTGAGTTGACCTTGACTCACAGTGACCCCATGAACGACAACCCTGCCCTATCCGATGCCGTCCTCACCATCTCTAACCCACTTGGGCCCATTGCTATAGTCACTGTGCTAATCCACCTTGATGAGGGTCTTCCCTTCTTACACTGACACTCCACCTTTCCAAGCATGGTGTTCCTTCTCTAAGGACAGGTCTCTCCTTAAAACATTCTCAGAGTCTGTGAGACAGAGTTTAACCATCCTGATGGAATACCAACTGACATAGTTCAACAACTAGATGCAGCTCTGGATGTGTTGTCAGGCTGTGCCAAGAAATCAGAAAGACAGCTCCTTGGCCAATTGACCGAAAGAGACCCATATTCATTCACATTCCCTGAAAAAAGGTATTCATAGTGTGAAATACAATGTATATGAACTTTGTAAGCAAACCAATATAAAGTAATTTTTTTTAAAAAAAACACATCAAAAAATAATAAAAGGTGATCCAACAGAATGTGGAAATGATTGAACAGGCAGCCATGGGCAGCTGCAAAAAGGCAAGATTTTAACTGTTAAAATTTATATACAGGGGATCCCAGGAGGATTATAACCTATGATTTTAGTGGCTCTGAAAACCTGCTAGAAGGTCAGCTATAAATTGTTTCCAACTTGACAGCACACACCAACAAGATAATCTGTTCGAAAAGGACCATGGAATCCTGGAGTTAGTGGGAATACTGGAAGGTTGGCATCCAGGACGTTGGCCTTTTTCTTTGGCTGACGTGGGGTAGCTACAGCCTCAACAGCTGCATGAGCTTCTCAGAATCTTCCAGATTGCTGAGCCTAAAGAGACACCAACTAGAGTTGGTAATTCGAGAAATACGATATAGTTAGAATGATAGATTGAGTTTATCATTCAAACTGGCTGGTTTGAGAGATTAAACATTGGGAATATTTTTTTCTATTTTCTATTGGTTTGCTTATAAAGTTCGTATATATCGTGTTTCACACTATTCTTCATTCACATCAGTTTCATGCAATCATTTTCATGAATTATGTTTTACAAAATTAATCCTCATGGGACCTTGTCCATCATTAGCCTGTCTTTTCACCTGGATCCTTCCCATTTCCTTCACTCACTCACTCTACCCACAAAACTGTGCAACCCTGTGGTTTTTATCCCTCCCTATTCTCAACCCTTCTCCTCTTGGGTCTCCATACATGTTTTACTGTTTATCCTTCTATTTTTACAGTAATGGTCTCATGCAGTATTTGTCCTTATGAGACAGAGTTAGTTCACTCAGCATAATGCTCTCCAGTCTCTCTCTGAGTCTTTTTCCCCCCTCTGAGTCTTTTTATAAATGCAATCTTTGAACAACTGAATGAACATTTGAGAAGTTTCAGACAGGCTTGGAAGTGGGAGTGGCATCCACTTCCTAACATGCTTCTGGAAATGCCAAGAACTTTGATAAATGATGATAATTATAGAAAGGCTTCAGGCCTTTTGTTCATAGGGTCACTATGAGTCGTGCTTGACTCGATGGAAATCAACAACAACCACCACAAAATCATTAAATTACATGATGCAATATTTTATGTAGTACATATTAAAAGAAGGTATACAAAAGAATGGATAAAGTATGGTTAGTTGTAATTCTAGTTTTACATAAATGATTTCATGATTTTACATGATTTCTGTTGTTAGTGAGCTAAGTTTAATTAAGATAAATTTTAGTTTCAATCTCATTGATTTCTTGATGCTCATCAATGTTATTTAAGCCAAGTAAATGATGTTGTTACCTGTTACTTGTTAATATTTTTTTGCACTGTCAAAACTCTACAATACCAAGTATTCTTTCCATTTCTCAAATTAGCCTATAGGCAACAAAATCATACCAATTTAGTAATGACGTGTATCCAAAAAGGAAACATAAAGTAATAAAGGGATTGAAGATGAGCAAATGTGCAGGATCAACCCACTGCTGTGAAGTTGACTCTGACTCAGCAACCCCACCTGACAGAGAAGAACTGCCCAGTGAGGTTTTAAGGCTGTAAATCCTTACAGAAGTAGACGGTCTCATGTTTTTCCCAGAGAGCTGTTGGTGGATTCAAACCACTCATCTTTTAGTTTGCAGCCCAACACTTAATCCATTGTGTCAACAGGCCTCCTGGATTCAGGAATAATGATACCGAAGTAACTCTCCACAATTACTGGCATGGTGGAGGATCACTGTAACTGAAAAATATCTGTATGTATTTGAAGCGATCCTGGCACACTGTGCATTATCTGTAATTGATTCAAAGTCCCCTTCGAGGACAGAAGAGGTCTGCCTCCAGGATTTCCTACACTGGCAGCTAATGGGAGCAGATTTGTGCATCTTTATCCCAGGGGAGAAGCTGGTGGTTTCAAACTATTAACCTTTCAGCTAGCAGCTGAGGGTTTGATCACTGTGCTGCCAGAGCTCCTTAGCACATTATATAAACCCAAACCCAAACCCCACTACCATGGAGTTCATTTCAACTTACTGTGACTCTGCCATTGTCTGATATGACAGAACAACTCTGCCTGGTCCAGTGTCATCCTCAGTGTCAGACTCTGCTGTGCTCAAGCCCACTGTTGCAATCACTGTGCCCACCTGGCCCCTTAAAGGTCTTCCCACTCCCTTGCTGATCCTCCTTGTCTCTAAGCACGAATCCTTTAAGGTCTGGTTCCTTCTGACAACAGGCTCAGTGTATGTGAGTAAGTCTCAGCATTCACGCTTCTAAGGAGCATTCAGGCTGCACTTCCTCCACAAGACATTCGTTCCCTCCTTAATCGACAACAGTCAGACTTCTTGGAAACTCTTCAACTTTTGTTGTTGTTTCTGTTAGATGCCTCTAAATGGACTATAAGCTATAGAGATCCTATGGACGACAGATCTAAACCAGCCCTATCTTGACTCCTCCCCATGATACTGTTATAGTCACCATGTCAATCTGTGCCATTGAGAATCTTCCTCTATTTTTTTTTTCTTATACCCCACCTTTCTCATCGTGATGTCTTTCCAGAAACTGGCCTTTTCTGACAACATGACCAAAGGATGTGAAATGAAGTTTCACCATCCTCGCCTTTAAGAAGTACCCCGGCTGCACTTCCTCTGAGATGGACTTGCTTGTTCTTTTTGCAGTCCATGTCCTCTTGTCCATTCAGTACTCTTGCCCAACATCATAACTGTTGTTGTTATATGCTGTTGAGTCACCTGTGACTCATACCAATCCTATTTATGACAGCTCTGAAGACTTTTCTATCCCTGAACCAATCTCACTGTCTCTGACACACCTATCCCTATTGCCCCAGCAACTGTATCAAGCCATCTCATCTGGGGTCTTCCTCTCCTGCCCTGTGCCTCCACTCTTCCAAGTATGATGTCCTTCTCCAAAGAGTGGTGTCTCCTGACCACATGCCCACAGTATGTGTGATGGAATAAAATCTCCCACAGGTTCCCCAAGGCTGTAATGTTGATGGGAACAGATTGCCATGTCTTTCTCCTCTAGGTTTGAAACCCTGACCCTCTGCTTAGCAGCTGAGCGATTAAACCACTGTGCTATCAGGGCCTGTCCAGCACTCTGTATATACACATACACAGTACAAATCAACAGAATTGCTGAGGACTGTATTCTGTCCAGAGTCCTGGTGGGTGGGTGGGGAATCATTCTAGTTCAAAACAGGTGTTTCTATTAATCTGATAACTTCCTTTTACTGTAAATTGTTGATAATAATACTTAAGAAGCATATTAGAGGGAATCTTTTCTGTGTTCTTCTCCTTAAGCTTCCAGTGCATTTGTCAGATATATCAAAACCCCAAATCCTTAGTTGGGTTGATGTTAACTCACGGTGACCCTGTAAGAGTAGAACTGCTTGCTAGGCTTTCTAAGATTGTAAATATGCACAGAAGCAGACCATCAAATATTTCTTCAACTGAGTAACTGGTGGGTTTTCACTGATGGCCTTTAGGTTAGCCACCAAATGCTTGAAACACTATGCCATCAGGGCTCCTGGGTTGATGTGTCCTAGCTTGGAAGAGCAGAGAGCCTGTGAAACAGAGGAAGACCTTCAATGAGATGGAATGACATAACTGCAACGATGGGCTTGACCATAGAGGATCTCGGGAAGATGGTGCAGGACAGGGCAAGGTTTTAATCTGTACGTCCACTGACCTGAGCATCTGTATGACTAAGGTGCGCCTGATCCAAATCATAGTCTTTTCAACTGCTTTCTATGCATCTATCTGAGAATTGGGCAATAAACATGGAAGAAGGAGAAGAACTGATGCCCTTGGATTGTGTTGAAGAGTATCCAATATCGAACAAACTGCCAAAGAACAAACAAATCTGTCTTGGAAGGAGCGCACTCAGAGGGCTCATTCCAGGCAAGGCCGGCGATCCTGGGGCTCACATACTTCGCTCAAGGTCGGGAGCAGCCGATCCATGGGAAAAGACGGAATGCTGGGAAAGGGCAGGGGGTCAGAGAAAGGGAGGAATACCCTCCCCAGGATCAACGGACGCAGTGACTCCACCAGTGAGCCCGAGCATGACGGAGACTGTGCGGAAGGTGCTGGCTAGCGAAGGTTCAGATCCATTGTTCACAGGGCTGCTATGAGCTGTGGTTGACTCGACAGCCCCTAACAGCAACAGTTCCTAACTCACAGGTCAGGAAATCAGGGGGTGGATAAGAAACAGCTGACTCCAGCTGTTCCTCACTTGGAAGTTACAACACCTGGTCTTAAACTTATGCTCATGGAGATAAACGTCTTCTGTTCCAGTGTTTTGGTAAGTTAGTAAATTGGTTCCTACAAGGGTCCCAAACGATGGCTACTCTGAGGCAGACACAGATACACCCAGAGAAAAGCATGAACACAGTGACAAGTCTCTGTCCTATGTCCAAGGAATGGACCAGGAACCCATTTCAATAGCTCTGGGCTACATCCTCTGAGGACATAAAACAGACACATTTGCTCAGGAAGTGACTTCAATTGAAAAGAGTCCAGGTCAGCATTTCTTCGGATCAGAAAATAATAATAATATTAATAATAATAATTCAACCTGCTCAGAAGGTCTTTGGGATTAACTGCATGGAAAATATTGCGAGCGACGTCACTGCTGTCCTTGAAGGGCCGCTGGTTACATTTGTACACAAAAGCTCAGCGGCATCACCTGCGAGTGTTCCCGAGGCGAGTTAATGGAGTTTGCGGAGGAGAGAGAATCGGAAATAATGAAGAGCAATGCAATCAGATTGTGAATGTTTCTGCTCTTCCAGATGACTGAGCCAGTGAATGGGAAAAATGTAGCTTTAGCACGGTTCATTATGACTTCCAGAACCTGCGGATAATGACTGTAAATAAGGCGGGTGCATAGGCAATCGAATTGGGATATAATTTAGTGACTAGGAAAAATATTAAGCCTCCTGGGTTAAAAAAAAACAAAAACAAAAACAAAAAACCACAAACAAAACAAAAACCAACAACAAACCAAACCAACAAACCAGTGTCCGAAAAGACTTTTGTCTGACTATAATTTGTGTTTTTTTTTCTTTTTGTTTTGTTTTCTTTTTAAAGCTACAGCAGAGTAATGGCCAGCCATGCGACAATTATCTTTTTTTTTTGTTGTTGTTGCCTTAGCAGTGTTATTTGAGGTAGAGTATTAAAATCATTCACATTTGTAATTGAATTTGTAATTGGCTATGTTAGTAATAAATTCAACTGCCTGTTGAAAAGAGAAAATAAAGCTACAATAGGAAAAAGAAAGGGAGAAGGAGGTTTGGCTAAAATTAGCAAACACATTTGACTTTGCATGGAAATGTTCTACTGATGCAGGTAAGATAAAACCTGGAGAAACTAGGTTGAGGCCAGATTCAATACCAGCGACCCATTTTTTTATGAGACAAGCCAATTGATATTTCTCTTTTCCTCGGTGAACCGGGAAAAATTTCTTACTCGCTTACAGAGGTGTGTGGTAACTTGTTAAAAGAAGCCAAACCCCTTCCCATTTTCACTCCTTAAACTCGGCTCCTCTAACTGCATCTTTGTTTTCATGGGAGAAATTACTGGTTAAAGGGTCTGATACAAAATAAGGACAAAAAGTGCTAAGCCCCACATCTCATCTCACAGACCAAAACCAATTGCCTTCAAGCCAGTTCTGATTCCGGGTGATGCCAGGTGTTCCAGGGCAGAGCTGCTCCCGAGGACTTCCTTGGCTGTAAACACTACACAAGCTGAATCGCAGGCTTTTCATTCACGGAGCTGCGGGGTGGGTCCGAATGACAAGCTGGCAGATTAGTAGTTGAGTGTAACCGCTTACAGCATCAAGAGATGGTAAAAAATATTACTCACTCATTTCTGTTGAGTTGGAACTGACTCATAGCTGACTCTTCATTGGGCTTCTGAGGCTGTAAATCACTCGAGAAGATGTTTCTCATCTTTCTTGCATGGAGTCATTGGTGGATTCGAACCCCCAGAGAGGTACGACCTTTAGGTGAGCAGTGCAGCTCCCTACAGACTTTGCGACCAGAGCTCCCTAGGAGTGACTAACAAATACACATCTGTCCAACAACTACGAACATTCTTAGCCTGCTGTACCTATCAGTAGGGATAACACTGGTTTCCCTGGTATTGCAAAGCTCTCTTACTTAATAAGGTGTGGGTCTCTTTCTCCAGGTCAAAGGAACTGAAGGAACACAACGAAGTGTCTGTTTGTCAAGGTCCACATTGCGCCAACAAAAGTTGCAAACATTGAAGCAATGAGCGCAAAAACAAAATCCGCTGAGTGGCAAGGATTCCAGCGGCTTAAATGGATTATCAAAACTGAAAACAGTAAATCCATACGTCTCTGTGAGTGAAGCAGTATCCAAAATCCAGTCAGTCAACATTTCACTCAAGAGAATGAAGCATAAAAAGTTACGCTGGATGCAAACATTACATATAAATGAAGAGAGGGGACAATTAAGTCTAGCTGCTGGAGATTGATGTCCACAAATTTTCGCTAGTCAGAAATTCTCTCAAACACATAACACGCATTTTTCAACTTGGGAAAAAGATAAGAAATTTAGTTGATGCTGGTAGTACAATAGTGAAGGAATTCAGCTACTAACCAAAAAGGTTGACCGTTCAAATCCGCCAGGTACTCTACAGGAGAAAAATGTGGATGTCTGCTTCAGTACAGATTTACAGGCTTCAGTACAGATTTACAGGCTTGGAAACTCTATGGGGCACTCCTACTCTGTCCTACAGGGTCTCGAGGAGTCAGAATCAACTCTATGGCAGCAGGGGAGAGAGGGGTTCGTTTTTTTGTTGTGGTTCATCTAAATATTTACCCTCACTAGTGTACCAGTCACAAAACCAAAAGATGAGTCGGACTGGAAAAATCTGCACTATGGATCTCTCCAGAGTGCTAAATAGCAATGATGTCAGTCTAGAGACTAAGGTGCACCTGATCCAGGCCACGGTTTTCTTGGTTACTTGCTATACATCTGAGAGCTTGCTAATGACTAAGGATGACTGAAGAAGAATTGATGCCTTTGAGTCATGGTTCTGGAGAAGAGTCTTGAACATACCATTGATAGCTAAGAGAACAAATAGGTCCTGGAGAGGGTGAAATCAGTTTGCTCCTTGGAGGCAAGGATTTTGAAACTCTGTCTCATGTACTTTGGGCATGTCACCAGGAGGAAATAGTTTTTAAAGAAGGACAGCATGGATGGAAGGGTACAGGTGGAGAGGAAATGGACTGTCACACTGACAGAGTGGCAATGAGACAGTGAAGTTGGTTCAGGACAGGACAAGACTCAGAGCCATTGCTCATAGGGTCACCATGAGCCACAGTCAACCCAGTGGCAATAAATAATGCAGTTGATTCCAAAGTCAAGAGCCATATTGGAGCACTGATGGCATTGTCCATAGTGAATTGTACTGTTAACTCAACAAGTGTGTGTCCTTGGCAGTTCAAATCTACCAACTACTTCCTGATTAAAAGATAGGCAGTCTCTTCCAATTGTGATTTACAACTCTGCAAACCCAATGGAAAGTCAGCTATGAGTCAGAACTTACTTGATGGTAGTAAATAAGTAAATACAGCTTAGGTCCAGAGATCAATGTTTTTCTTAACCTCGTGGTGTGGTATTTTAGCATTGAGTGGCTGACCTACAGATGGACCCACACAGCTGGTCAAGGCCTTGAACATCTGCTCCTGTAAAGATTATAACCTAGGGGACCATACGGGGCAGTTGTGCTCTGTCACGTGGGTCACCATATGTTTGAATTGACCCAAAGTCACTAAACAATGACATGTGAATATGTAACAGGAATTTCAGCCAGCATTCCCAAGTTTAAGATCAATGAAATAACCGAGGGGGTGGGGGTACTGGAATAATTTCAATGTGGCATGTCCCAGGGCACATGCTGTTGTGATCACCAGAATAAGGTCCTGCCTGGTCAAAAACCTTGTGTGGAAACTCAGGAAATGTTGAACAAGAAGAAGAATTTCTTGTGGGAAGGCAAGCGTAACCCAGGCATTCACATACCTAGAAAAGCAGAAGGTGAGACGGTGCCGTTGCTCCTTGAAACCATGACGCTGATTCCTGTCTCCACGAAGGGCACAGAGAAATCCACCACTTCCGAGCGCTCCTCGTTGATGGTGAGCGAACCGACTGCCATGACCGCCCGCTGGTAGACCACCTGGACGCAGAGTAAGAGAAAGAACAGGATCCTCATTCATCCTCCCCCAACACACACACACACACCCAGGGCACCTCAGATGCTTTGTGTGAATGAGAGGCTGGGGGAGGGAAAGAGGCCTTACCTCCCCAATCATGCCGTTCCACACATTGTTAACTTTCTTGCCATGCTTCCCATTGGTCACCAGGTAGAGGTCGTAGGTGAACTTCACAGTCCGGGACAGCTTCTTGAGGATGTCGATGCAGAACCCCTTACAGCACTTCTTCACATTCATCCCCTCGTTGGTGGAGTTGCTGGAAAGCAGATGCCAGGACCACAGGGCATTAGAGGTGGAAGGAATGAGTTTATGACCCTGAGCTACATGCCATGCTACTATTTTGCAGATGGCACACTGAGGCTGCGAGAGAAATTCCTTTATCTTTTCTGTGGCTGCAGAGCGAGTTTACAACAACAAAAGTAGAAAGTGCTCTGAATTATAACAATAATCATGACAACTGCCAACTTCTACTGAGTAATTATTATTTGCTCTTTACTATGCTAAATGCTTTATGCTAATTGTTGGCTGTCCATGATGCCTGTCTGTCTGTCTGTCTCTCTCAACTTCCTGTTGTGTTGTGGTTTACGGGAAAGTTTACGGAGCAAACCATTTTCCATTCAACAGCTTACACATATCTTCTTTGTGACACGGACCCCAATCCCCACCATCTAACCACAGTCCTCCCTGGGTTTCTGCATTGCATTTGTCTTTCTTTCCCTTGGCCCCTCTTGCCCACTGAGCTTTGTTTTTTGCAAACACTGCCCTTTGTCTTATATGATTGTTTGTTTTGAGGAATGCATCCCTTCTCTAGCAAATGAAAACTCATTGTGTTTGACGGCAGGTTTTCCAAAGTCATAATTCATACTGGAAGAGACCGCCCATCTTATTCTCACTGAGACACTGGTGGCTTCAAACTACCAGAGAGCGACCTCTTATTGGATGGCATTGCAATTCCCTATGGACTATACCACCGGAGCTTGCTAAGGTTTGTCAATTGTTTGGGTGAAGGCTGTTATATCCCTTGAAGTAGGCAGTATTAGTATCCCATATTACAGATATATATATATATATATATAGTTATAGTTGTTGTTGTTAAGTGTCAGAGTCGTAGGCGACTCATAGCGACCCTATGAATGAAAGTCCTTGACACTTGCATGCATGACTTTCATCCTTTCTCCAGGTTCATATAGTTATATATATTTTATGTATTTTATATATTGCTATATTTGTTATTTAACCTTCCAAAGACTCTATTTACAGAATGTCTGTACAGCTATGAGGAACTCTGGTGGTATGGAGATGGTAATCAGGAATTTATGTTGGTACCTAGCCTAGCCATGTGTGTGTGTGTGTGTGTGTGTGTGTGTGTAAAGGGAGGTTCCTGTGTGACTCAGCACCACCACCATATACAAACATACAAACTAAATGATTCCAATTCAGCAACCCTGTAGGACAGAGTAGAACTGCCCCATGGGGTTTCCAGGACTGAACATCTTTATTGACACAGACCGACTCATTGTTCTCCTGTAGAGTGGTTTTGAACTGTCAACCTTTCAGCTAGCAGCCAAGCACTAAACAATTGCACCATCAGGGTCCCCTATACAGATATCTCTTGTCACTTTGTACCGTGACTCTGAAGAAAGCGAGACTCATGGGGGGAAGGAGTCCATAACGTATCCAGTTCACTGGCTCCCCAGTTTCCTGGTGAGGTCAGGGGACATGTCTGTGGTCATCAAAAACAGGAAGAGCCATGTTTAAACCCAGATCTGCACCAACCATCAGGGAAACTCACACAGGTGTCCTTGTTTACAGAGCCTTGTTGGTAAATAAAAATGGTGGCTTCTCTACAGAAAAGATTAAGAGCCACCAAGTAGAGCACCTGTTACATAAGTGTTTAAAAATACATTTTCACTCATCCCACCAGCGACTTGACAGCTTTGGGTTTTAATTGACAGCGTATCCATTTCTCCTTAGACAGAAGCCCAGATAATTTTTCCTGTACTTTCTCTCCCTGCTTTTAACACCCAGCTAATGGACCTGAAGAAAAATTGGATTTCTCAATTCCTGTATGATGATCTGTGTTTCCAGAGGACTGGAGAGCAGGCAACATCATTTACTAGCAGTGGAGACAAACAGTTCTGCCTGGGAGAACATATCCCCAGAAAACTAATACCATCATGCCGTCCAACAGGAATCCTTCCTGGGACCAATCAGGCGCCAAGGTTTTACTTGCAGGAAATGCAATTGCTCCAGGCTGTGTTAATGCTGGGATTAGGGGTTCCTAATAATTTTCTATTACTCTCAGGTAAGTCAAAGACTCTGATTAGCTCATAAATGCTTCATAAACTTCTCACATCCTCAAATGGAAAAAAGGATGTTACAAGCCTCCACTTCCCCCTGGAAGTAAAATTGTAAATTTGAGCCTTTAAGCCGTTTATATTCCTGAGCAGATAAGTCAACTCTTTGAAAGAACAGAGTTGATTTGGGTTCTTTTCTCCACACAAATATGGTGTTGTCTCTCTAATTGGTTCCAACTCATAGCAGCCCTCAGTGGAATTTCTATGGCTATAAACTGCAATGGGAGGCTACTTCTCCTATTTCTCCTGTGGAGCTGCTGTGAGGCTCCTTCTCATTCTTAAATCTCACCACGAATCTTGCTTGTGTGAGTGGAAGTAGCTATAGCCCCCAAGCTATTCCTCTGCACACCACCTTGCTTCTTTCTTTCAAAAATTCCCGTGTCATCAATTTTACCCTCCTCGGAGCATGCATCTGACTGTATTTGGCAGTCTATACTGTAGACTAGGGCTTCTAAGCTTGATCGCAGTTTGTCTCTTCTCCATAAGTTTTTACTAGTTAGGATAGTGTGTGTGTGTGTGTGTGTGGCGGCGGGGTGGTGGGTGCTTCACGGAACTGCTTATTAACCTTTTAAAAATTCTTCTAGTATCTGCCTGAAGGTCTTCTGCATGATTTGTTCTAATAGATATTGACTAAATAAAGATTATTAGTGCAAAAAAAGTTCTAACGTGGGATGTTCTTGTGTTTTGTAGCCTTGGAAATTCAGGGGAGGGTCGGTTATGAGTCAGTTCTGAGTTTATTGTGGAGGTGGTCTTAGGTGGTATTAGTGCTGTTGTGACTCTTAGTGACCCTGTGCACAATGGCTGCTCTATTCTGTGTCAACTTCACCATCTCCAACACACTAGAGCTCACTGTTATAGTCACTCCATCTTATCAATCCATTTTATCAAGTGTCATTCTTTTACTGACCTTTCCAAGCATAATGTCCCCTTTTCCAAGGACCGGCCCCTACTTACAGCCTGTCCAAAGGATGTAAGACCATCCTTGCCTCCAAGGAGCACTCTGATTTCACTTTCTCCAGGATCGACCTATGTGCTCCCTTGGCAACCAATCCACTATTATTATAAGTCATTATTGTAGTTTGGAAGCAGGAGTGGCATCCTCTTCCATAACAGCTTGCCTCCAGAAACCCTATGAACCTGGAGAGAGGATGAAAGGCACCCAAGCATCGAGGACTCTTCTTCATAGGGTCGCTATGAGTCACCTGCGACTTGACTGCACTTAACAACAACAACAACAATTGCAGTTTAGAAAAAATTTAAATGCAAATTGCTTTCCCATTCAGCAATTCATATAGACATTGTGTGACAAATCCTTCACCGTAACACCACTCTTTCCATACTCCTCCTTCCATTCACTCCTCTTTTCTACCCATTCTCAGTTTTTGAACATTTCTTTCCAAAATTAAAGCCTTTTAGGCTTGTATGGTTGATTGTGCTGAGAAGTATGTTCTTTCTTGATGAAATTCATTTTAGAGAGTTAACTACTGTTTGGTTGAAAGATAGTCCCTCGGGGTTGGTTCAGTTCTAGGACTAAAGGGGTCTAAGAGTCACAGACTCCAGGACTCTAACTGTGTATGCTTTGTGACAACAAGATCCTTGTCTGCCCTGTTCATTGATATGTCTCTCTGGTCAACGTGACACCGAATACCATAAACTGAACCTAATACCTATTTATTCCCCAACGGAATGATCTATTGATCATTTCAACTCCAAAGAGTCTGATTTTAATAACCTCATCAATAACACTTCTCCACACTAGATAATAATATACCTTCATAATATATTTAACAGTCAGACTGAAAAAAATGTTATGGTGGCCTTTGCTATGTATATTTTCACACGTACAAACAGTACAAACAGATAAATTGGATTCTAAAACAAATAAGCAAAACCCTTATACTGTATTTTAAGCATTTCTTTTTATATATATTTCAATGAAATTTTATAAAGAACTTGGATTTCCATTTATTTATTGTTGCACATTTACACTTGATTCTTGTCTAATAAAAGAGTTAGGCTGGAATCTGAATTCGGAGTAACTTCAGATTTTCCTCTGTTTAGTCATCCAACAAGCCTGTGTGACATGCCTTAAGCTTGTCACTGGGAGTACAAAGATCAACGAGCCACATTCTTGTATGTAGGCAGCTCATCACCTAGGGAAAGTGCTGGCCAGCTGTTGTTGTTGTTGTTGTTGTTTTTAAGTGCCGTTGTCGAGTCATAGGCGACTCATAGCGACCCTATGAATGAAAGTCCTCGATACCTGCATGACTTTCATCCTTTCTCCAGGTTCATAGGGTTTCCGGAGGCAAGCTATTAAGAAAGTGGATGCCACTCCTCCTTCCAAGCTTGTTTTAATCGGAGAGCTCCACCAAACACTGTCCACCATAGGTAATCATTATCATATTTGATACATCAGTGTCACAGTGTTCTGCTTCACAGCAACCACAAGTTACTTCTGTATGGCAATTGGACACACCAAGATTATATGACCTAGAAGAATGCTTGGCCAAAAACAATGAAAAACAGGCCCGAGGGCCGCGGATTAGAAGTCACCCACCTTTGGCTTGGTAGCATCACTTTCTGTCCACTAGGCCAACTGATCTCTCTCTACTGGCCAACTATAGACCATGAAAATGTAGGTAGAGATTTGAGTTGTGTGGAGAAGACTATCCCATGGACTGCCAAAGAAACCAAACAAACTTGTCTTGGAGAAAATGCAACCAGGGCAGTCCTTGGAGGCGAAGATACCTTGGACATATTGTTAGGAGGAGGCCGATCCTTGGAAAAGGACATCATGCTTGGAAAGGGGTGAGGAGTCTACATAAGAGAGGAAGACACCCTCAACAAGATGTATCGCGATGGTGACCATAAAAATGGGCTCCGGTTTATCAGCGATGGTGAAGATGGCACAAGGCAGAGCAAGGTTATCCAATCTGTTCTTCAAATGGTTGTTCATAGAGTTCATCTGTTATGAGTCACAGTCAACACCATGACACACAACAAGAGTGTAAGCGGGTAAACTTGTCCAATTTAAGGAGACAGTGGCTAAGACTTAAAGACAAGAACTGGTTAAATGCTAAGAGGTAATCAGAAAATACTTTCTTCCTGAATGTTCACTAGTACCCATTGTTCAAGTCAATTCTGACTCATCTGGAAGGGAGTGGATGGAGTTTGCAATGTTGTAAACTTTCATGGAAGCCGACTAACTCATCTTCTGTGGACCTGTGGCTAGTGCTCACTGCTTTCACAGCTGAGGACTTAAGTCGTATGTCACGAGAGCTTCTGGATGTTCCATGGGGGCAATATTTTGCTTGTGTTTGCATTGTTGTTGTTGTTGCTGTTAGGTGCCATCGAGTTATGTATGATTTCTAGTGACCCTATGAGCAGCTGGCCTGAACCCTGCCCTCTCCTGTGCCATCCGGACTCATCTCTGACACACTGGAGCCCAGTGCTGAAGTCACCGTGTCAAACCATCTTGTTGAAGCTCTTCCTCTCCTTCACTGACCCTCCATCTTTCCAGGCATAATGCTTCTCGCCAAGGAATAGCTTGGTTTGCATTCGAAAAGATTATGAACTAAGCTTTGGATCTGGCCAAAGCTTTATACTTCTCCAAAGGACCTGTGGATTAAAGATAACCCTTCCCTGGAGAAGCTGAGGACAAACATCAGCTCTTTATCTCATAACAAAAGAAGAAATAAGTTGGACGCCATGTTTACTTGCTTTCAGTGAGTAAGAACGCAATCACAAGATTTACAAAAACAACATAGTAGCCATCAAGCCAGTTCTAACTAATGGCAACCTCATATATATCACAATAATATTGTGCTCCAAAGGGTTTTCAAGGGCTGATAATATTTTTTTTAATTTTTTTAAGTTAGATCAACAAGTCGTCTTTCCAAAGTGCCTCTAGGTGGACTTGAACCCCCAACCTTTTGGTTAGTAGCCAAGTGCATAAGTACCTGTACCACACAGAGACTACAAAGAGATCTGTATTACCTTCATCATAGAAAGTCAGATGCAAAGTGTGTGAAAATGGCCAAGCAGAGGTTTTAAAAATTTTGAAGTTTGAATTTGACAGACACCAAAGAGATGGAGAAAGGCCAAAATGGTAGGGTGGGGGAAAGGCCAGCAAAAAATAAACAAATGCATAAAACAAAGGGGAGGGGGAACTCCCACCCAAGCCCAGGTAAGGGGGAACTGCTGGGGAGAGCTGACTGATAAAATGATTGAGGATACTGCTGCTTTAGGGAGAGACAGACCAGGGCTGTGTGCCTAATGTATCAAGTGCTAACCAAAAGGTTGTAAGTTTGAATCCAGCGGCTGCTCTGCAGGAGAAAGTCTTCTCCCATAGAACTTCACCATCCTGGAAAGCTGATGGACAGTCACTATGGGTCAGAGCCAACAGGGCGCACTGTGTGGTTTTGTGTTTTTCTTCTATTTACGAGCTGGACGGCTTTGAATATGTTTTCTGATTTTATCATGACTCAGGTTTATCACATATTAAATGAGCAAAACCCACCTACACCATATTGCTGTTGTTGGAATGAAATAGACTGCAAACCACTGAGTGCCACCCCAGGAACTGATGTAAGGCTTTCATCTACAGTTACACTACGCTCGTTACACTCATAGGAGAGGCCCTGCTTGACATTCATGAACCAAAAGCTTGGTGGTTCGAGTTCACCCAGAGATGCTTTGGAAAAACAGAACATTCATGCCTGAAAAATGAGTTTTGAAAACTCTACGGGGTACGGTTCTATTGTGACCCACGTGGGGTTGCCATGAGTATGAATTGATGGCTATTGGTTTATAGTTTACTCTATGTCAAAAAGGAAAACTTCACAGCTGCCAAGTTGATTCTGACCATAGCAACCCTCCATCAGGTTCCCAAGACTATCAATTGGAAAGGGAGGAGACTGCCCATCTTTCTCCCTCGGAGCCACTGGTGGATTTGAACTGCCAGAGACACAAAGCCCTTGGTTATCAGGGCAGCTTGCTACGGACTCCCGAGAGCCCTTTCATTATAAGGAATTTAAATCACCAGTTGATGTGGTCAAGTTGATCGCAACACATGGCGACTCTGCGTGCACAGTAGGACTACTCCATGGGGTTTCAAGGCTGTGCCTCTTGGGAAGCAGATTACCAGAGTTGTCTTCTGAGGTACTTCTAGGTGACACCTGACTTTTTTGCACCGCCCAGGAAGTTCCTATATTTTAGTTCATCTGGTGGCATTGTGCATGGGGAGTTGTGTTGCTAACCCAAAGTCTGTAATCTCTCTGAGGGTTCGAATCCAATGGCTCTTCTGAGGGAGAAAGATGAGCAAGATCCTCCCCTGCGAGTATAGCCTCAGAAACCCCGTAGTGGAGGTTCACTTAGGAGTCAGTTCCGACCCAACAGCAATAAGAGAGAGATTCATTACAGGCATATTCTCAACAATGTGTGTTTGATTTAAAGGATGGGAAAGACTTCCCCAGACAGCATTCTCTGCTACTCACTTGATTTTGACAAACTTCCGGCACGGGACGGTGTTCCGCACACAGGTCTCCGTCAGCGGGTCGATGTCTTCCACGATGACAAAGGGAGCCTCCTCCAGCGTGACGATGCTCAGATGGTTGTCGTCGGGCTCACAGTCGGAGAAGGACTTGTACCTTGGCCACACAGCATGCCTCAGGCTCAGCGTCTGGTTCTCCCACTTGCCCACCTGCCGCGCAAAGACAGAGACACTGCAGTGAAGCCTGCTACCTTAGGAGCACCTGCGTCCTCAGGTACCAAGAAAACCAAGAGGGACGATCACTGGGAAACCCCCATGCTAAGCCCCTCTCCAGATTACTCAGAAGGCACCTTTGGGAGTGGGGGTTCCCAGACCAGCTACATGTGTGCACCTGAGTGTAGGGTCCAGGCATTGATCCTCTTAGGGCTCCCCCCAAACCAGAAGCACCCCCATTACCATAAGTCAATCCCGAATCATAGTAACCCCCTAATGGACTTCTGAGCCTGTAAATCTTTATGAGAAGATTCCGTATCTTGTTCCCATGCAGCAGCTGGTGATTTTTATTCGGTTGGAAGCCCAACAGCTAACACACTACACCACTAGGGCTCCTTTTTGGAACTCTCTAGGTGATTCCAGGGAATTCTGGTGGTGTAGTCCATACATAACAAGTTGTGTTGTTAACCCAACACTGAGAGTCTTCAGCGACTCAAATCCACCGGCAGCTGTGTGGGAGAGAGATGGGCGGTCTCCTCCCGCTATGATTCACAGCCGTGGATACATGATGGAGGGGCTACGAGCTGAGCTGAGGAGTGATTCCAGGGTGCGGCCAGGATTGAGAACCACTGCTATCAAGGAAATGGCATGGACTTTTAGAATCAGGTGGTCTGCATTGTTGGTCCCTGCAACACTTCTGCTCTCAAAAACCATGAACCTGTTTTTGCATCTGTAAAGCAGTTACCATCCCACCAATGTTAGGAGGATGGTGTGAACACTGACTTAGGAAGTTCACAAAGAAGCATTCAGCACAGAGTCTAAGAACAGAGTCAGTCTCTCTCTCTCTCTCTCTCCCTCCCTCCCTCCCTCCCTCTCTGTCTTCCTCTTCCCTGACCAGCTGGAACCAACAAATAGCTGAGGCTGTGAATCTCATGGGAAGAGATGTCTTAGCCTTCTCCTTCGGAGTCACTGGAGGATGGGTTAACACAGCAGCTCCCCAGAGCCAACACCACCAGAGCTCCTTGGCATATAGTGGGGATTCTGCAGGTTTTTTTCCTCTAGAGGATGTGGGGGCCCAGTGGTTAAGTGCTCAGTTTCTAACCTAAAGGTCGGTGGTTGGAATTCATCCAGCGGCTCTATGGGAGAAAGACCTGCCAATTTGCATCTGTAAAGATGACAGCTTTGAAACTCTATGGGGATGTTCTGCTTTGTCTTACAGGGTCACTGTGAGTCACCATCAACTCAGTGGAACCCCAAATTTTTCTTTAAGAATAGGAGAAAGCAATGCAAAAGATGAAAAGAAAAAAGAGAAAGACAATGAGATGGAGATGGATGGATGGATGGATGGATGGATGGATGGATGGAAGAATGAATGAATGAATGAATGAATGAATGAATGAAAAGAGAGTGAAGGCTGTGGAGAGGGACGATGCAGGAGCGCGGAGCAGGTGAAGACATTAGAAGTGTCCATTCAATCCCAGAAGATCTGGTTCCACTGAAGTTGCAAATTAAAGGGAGCTGTTGTTAATTCAGCCCAGAGCCCAGACTTTTTCTGCTTAGTGCACATCAAGACCTGTCAAAATAGAATCGATTGCAGTCCTTCTGAGCAGTGGTCGGCGTCCTAGCGGAATCAAATTGAAGGCTGTGTGTTTTGAACCTTAATCTCATTTGACAGTTTGACACTATTCACACACACAGGCTGGGAGAGCGCTACCCCCCAGCATGGTGCTCCCCCTTCCAAGGGTCGGTGCTGTATTTATAGAGCCAAGCTTGGCAAACACCGAGTCTGCAGAGCTGTATATTGCATCTAGGCTTGTCTACGTGGACGTGACCTCCTTACCACTCCTCCTGCCCTGTTTGTGCCATCAGAAACTAAGGCTAGGCTCTTCAGGAAGAGTCAGACGTGGTGGACAGTGGGAAGGGGACCAGGGTGGGGGCAGAGGAGGCACTTGGAGCTCCCTAAGATGCACTGCACCATTTGAGCAGAGTGACTCATCCCATGTGGCCAATTACCAAATTGTCCACCTCGGCTGATGACCTCCTTTACAAGTTAGGAAGGCAGTCATCTGATGAAGCCAACATGTCCATCAACGCATGCTGTGATGTTTAAGGCAGGCTGGGGACAGTGTTGAGCACGCCAGATTCCTTATTTATTCAGTATGTTTATGGACTGGCTCCCCTATGCTGGTCTCAGGCTCTTCAAACTATTTGTCTGCTGTAGAACAAATACCAAATCAGTAATGAGAAGTATGTAAACAGATGGACAGATCGACAGCCAAGGTTTTCCTTTGGGGTCACCACTGAGTCACCCTCTCTCTGTCTCCCTTGGAAAACTCAAAATGCAACATGAAAGAGGGTTCACAGCAGGTAAGAAAATAAGTTTTTCTTTTCTTTTTTTTTTTACCTAGAAAGAATACTATTTTCGTACGAATCCTTTTCTTATTGCGATGAAAATATACATAACAAAACAAATGCCAACTCAATTCTCCATGTAAAATCCAGTGACAGTGATTAAATCCTTCACGCTGCGCAGCCATTCTTATCATTTTCCAAAGCACTCTGCCACCATCAATTTTCAGGATTCAGTTTAACATCAACAGTTCCATTATTTGTATTAAAAAAAACAACCAACCCAAATTGTGATGTGTAGGCATTGCTTTCAGGATTCCCAGTGGTACAGCCGTTAAGCACCGGGTTGCTGAGCAAAAAGCCAGCAGTTTAAACTCAGCAGGCAGCAATTCCAAGAATGACAAGACAGGCAGCTCAGTCTGCTGGTAGAATTACAGCTTTGCAAATGCTACAGGGCAGTCCTGTTCTGTATTCTACGGTCACTATGAGTCTAAACCAAATCCAAAGCAACAGGTTTGGGCTTGGATAAGCGTGGCCTCATCTCCTAGACCACTTTGCCACTTGTTTCTCTTCAGTTCAAAACACTCTAGCATCTCTGAAGGAAAAACAACTTCTTAGACAGCAACTGGGCTCAGTGTGTTTCAATCACAGCACAGTCCTCTTACCTACCTCGTGTAGGTGAGCCTACATGGTACATGTTTTGGGAATGGTCATCACCCTGGCACCACTGTTGTCAGCCGGGGAAAAGGAAGCTATCACAGTTGGTTTTTTGGTATAGTTTTTGTTGTTGTGAAGAGAACTGATTTTGGAGTCAAACAGAACTAGACATGCATCCCAGCCTTTTCCATTAGCTAGGCAAATCCTTCATATCTCTGAGCTTCCCCTTCTAAATGTGTGGAAAAGGACAGGATATGCCTCCTGGAGTTTGGACTGTGCTAACTATGGACAGAAATCACTGACTACAAACTCTAGTGCCTATGGTATAAGACGGACGCCATTATTTTGTTGTTGTTAGCATTGAAGATACAGCTCACGTGCCATCCTATCTGCAAAGTTATTCCTTCTTCCTCTCATACACTAAAGCTTTTCACTTACTCCCATGCCAGCATTGGGATGCTATAATTATAACTATGCCACATTTACGTACTTCTGCATAGTCAGGAAATGTGCCAACATTACTGCTTTGTTTAATCCCCCCAAATCCCACATGGTAAGATTATTGTCCTAACTTTACATTTCAGGGGACCCAACCACAGAGAGGTTACATAACCTGTCCAAACTCACACTGCACATTGAGTAAGTAGTAGTAGAACCCAGAGTTACATCATGGGCTATCTGAAAAGAGAAAATAAATCAGTCTTGGAAGAACTATAGACAGAGTGTCCCCTTGAAGTAAGAATGGTGAGACTTCATCTCAAATCCTCTGAGCATGTTATCAGGAGGGGTCAGCCCACGGAGAAGGGCATCATACATGAAGAAATAGCGAACAAGAAGACCCTTAATGAGATGCACTGACAGAGTGACTCTTCAACAGCAGGCTTAAGCACAGCAGGAAGTGTTAGAATGGCTCAAGATCAGGCAAAGCTTCATTCTATTGTACGCAGAGTCACTCTAAGTTGGAGCTGACTCAATGACATTGAAGAACAACAATATCTGACTTTAAAAGTGCTTTTCCACTACAAGGTTGCTTCTGTTAATTAATCTGTAATAAGAATGTTGTAAGGATTTCTGGCGTTGTTGTTGTTATGTACCGTCGAGTCACTTGCGACTCATAGTGACCCTCTGTACAACAGCCCTAAACCCTCCTCTGTCCTGTGCCAATCATACTGTCTTCAATACACCCATCCCGATTACCCCAGTCACTGAGTCAATCCACCTCATAGAGGGCCTCCCCCTCCTGCGCTGTCTCTCCACCCTCCCAAGCATGTTGTCCCTCTCCAAGGACTGGTTCCTCCGTATGACATGTCCAAAGTATGTTAGACAGAGCCTCAGAATCCTTGCCTCCAAGGAGCCACCTGGTTTAACCCTTCCCAGGATGAATCTGTTTGTCTTCCTAGCAGTCCATGGTACCTTCAATACTCTTCTCCAGCACCACAGCACTCTGGCATTAGCAACAGTTAAATGCTAGGTTGTAAACCCAAAAACTGGAAGTTTGAACCCACTCAGCTGCCCTGTGGAAGGAGACCTGGTGAAATGGGCCCACAAAGAGTGTTGTTAGGTGCTGCTGAGTCATCTTTGACTCAGCAACCCCACGCACAAGGAATCCCTGCCCCATCCTACGTCATCCTCGGAATCTCCGCTGTCCTTAGCTACATGCACTGTTCCAGCCACTCTGTTAACCCATCTCATTGAAGGTCGTCTTCTTTTTCACTGACCTTCTAATTTCCTAACCATGATGCCCTTCTCCAGAGACTGACTCCTCCTGATAATATGCCCAACATAAGTGAAGTGAAATCTCATCATCCTTGCCTTTAATGAGCACCTGCCTGCACAGGTAGTCTACTCTCTCTTTTAGCAACATGGGGCTGCTTTAAGTCTAAATTGACTCAATGACACCTAACATTTACAACCACCATACAAAGGGGTGATGGGAGGAGCAGTGGGGCAGTGGAAGAATGTTTACCTTTCATGCTGAACATCTTGATTTT